GCACGGAGGAGTGTCAGAGGTAAGCTTGCTTCAACTGCTTTTTATGACGCGGTCTCTTTTCCAAACTCAGGCATTTTGTGAATGAAGCTGATATTTCGGTTAAAATACATAAGTAAAAATATTTATCCGAGTATAGTACTACCCCCAACTTTATGGATGATTTTATGGATTTAATTTTACGTATTATACATGAATAAATACGGTAGTTTTAACCTTAAGATCTCATTTCATTTATTTTCTTTAACATTCCATTTAAATGTATCCAACGTGTCGTCTCTGTTCTGCTCAGGGTCGTGTACCACGAGTTGGTGCTGACCACCAAGGAGTACATGCGGGAGGTGACCACCATCGACCCCCGCTGGCTCGTGGAGTTCGCGCCCGCCTTCTTCAAAGTGTCGGACCCCACCCGCCTCAGCAAGCAGAAGAAGCAGCAACGCCTGGAGCCTCTGTACAACCGCTACGAGGAGCCCAACGCCTGGAGAATCTCCCGCGCCTTCAGACGCCGCTGAAATCTACAGCGCAGCTGTTTGGACCGTGGTGATGTCATCATGAGGGCGGTGCTTCTCTTCATGTTTGTCTTTTAATTTGTAAACTTTGTACATTTCCTTCGGTCAGATTTCTGTGGCTTCAGGCAGATATTTTAGCAGAAGCTAAATCTGCTCCTTTCACTTAAAGCAGTTTTCTGGATGTTTATCAGATAATTCTGTAAACTGATGGAATATTTATTTCTTTACTTAAAATTGGAGACAGTGTGTCTAAAAATGGARCTTTAGTTTGGCTTTTTTTATTCTATTAACTGTTTGTCAGATTAAAATGATGCAAGACGGTGAATATTTTGTAGAAAACTCAATCATTGTGTATCAGACCTAAAATGAAAAGGTTTCTTCATTAAATGCAGAAATTTCTTAACGTTTGTTTCATTTTACTGTGTTAATATAAAACTAAATACAAGTTGTTTGTACATTAGATGTTTAAACTGATCAAAATCCTGATTCACTTGATTTTGATMTTAAACCAGTAATAATTTTTCCTCCAGTGTTCGGCTGCAGCTGCAAGTCTTTGACAGAAATTCTCCTTCTAACCGGAAACTAATTAAAAAGCAAAGTCGATCTATCAGAGATTTCAAATTTCAGATCAATTTTCTCCCATAAAGCCCGAGCCAGGCCTGTTCTCCTGTTGCCATGTCCCAACTGGAGATGTTTATCAGACTTTTCTATTGGCCCGCACTCATATAATGCACTATGACTCAGTCTTCTGCAGCCTGTGGGGGGGTTATCTAATGTTTCACAAGATCCTTCCACTTCTGGCCACAACCTCTGACTCATGCTTGACTGGTTTYATAATCTTGTTGTGGAAGTTATTTATCCTGGCAGTTTGTCTCAGCTAAACAAAACAGAGTACTTTGTGTTTAGTTTGCAGTACTTCATTGTGCTGYGCCTGTTTTTGTGTTTAATGTCAGGAACCTGAACTGCTTTGAAAAGAAGTTTTTGGTGAGGTGGTTCTGTGGACCGGGGAAGCATCGGTTTCAAATGATTACATGGTTGTGATACACTGAGTGACCAGCAGGTGGTGCTGTCCTTAAGCTTCAACATAGACTTGAATATAGATCACTAGACTGAGTCCCGCCTGCCCACAGCCTCCACAGAAACTAAGGGTGTATTCAGACCAGGAA